GCTCAGGCAGTTTCATTTTTCACCACCTTTCTCCTTGACCCTATCCCCATCTTTCATCCTCTTGATTTTCATGCCAAACCATCCCCACCTTCCCCTAGTTTTTCAGCCAGTCCCAGCCCCATACCTGCTGTGTTTTCTTCCGCAGCTCTCAGGCTTGATAGCCTTTCCTAGCCAATTCCAGTCCCCGTCCTTAAAAGTCCAGTCTACTCTTGCTTCATCCTCACTCCAGTCCTGGCTAGCCTGCCACCCAGTTTCTAGCTGCGGCTGCTGCAACTTCACCTGGAAATTAAAGTAAAATGTCAGTACAAAATGCTCGCAAGTTTTTAAACCATCTTCCTCTTAAGATGTATTTTGGCAGAATGAAAACATTTGTAACCTTAATTTTGTATTAACAGCACATTTTGGTGTGGATTTAAATGTATTCCTAAATAATCATCTACATAAAAGATGAAAATACACTATTTCCAGTGTTTTTACTAGGAAGTTACTAGGGGTAGGAACCGCTGGCACTTAGGAAGGAAAGCACAAGTCATTTAAAACCTCAAAATGATTTACAGTAATTTTGTCTCTGTGTAAATAGTTTTCTATTATTATTTGTTTTGAAGTTTTCTACGTCCTGAATTTGTATGCCACAGAAGTTACAGCATTGTAACAGCAGCCAGTGTAATGCACAGTTGCTTGATATGCTGGATCGCCTATTACACCACACAGTGCACATATCTATCGTTTGTATTATTTATACTCTCTGTCAATATATAGGCAAAAAATACACTGGCCAAAACTAGCAGCTGTATAGTACACTAATCTAGAGATTGGCACCTACTGGAAATACAGATAAGAGGTTGTGTAACAGTAGTAGACAGCTTTTTCCCCTCTTTCATCTATTTTCATTGGGTCTTTTAATCACGTTTTGCTTTTGCAGTTCTCTAAAGTACTTCACATATACTAGGCATTACGGCCCCGCTGTTTAAAGAAAACTCTTAAACACGTTTACTTTTAAGCACCTCCCAAGCTCCGTGGACTTCAATGGAAGATACATACTCTTAAATTTACACACGTGCTAAAGTGTCTCCCTGAAGAATGACCCCTAAGGAAAGTCCCCCTGTTTAAATAATAAGGAAAGAGTACGTGTGCCACATGAAAAAATTCTTG